TCTGTAACTTATTCATTCTCCCCTTGAAGACCTTTATTTCCCCTGCTTGAACTCCAGACATGTCAACAAGCATGCAAAATTGCAATCAAGACAACTGTCCTCTACACATACTTAATAGTTTAGTCCTCAATCCAGCTCTGACAAAGTATTTGCATTTTAACAAGTCTGCAAAGGGGGCCTCCTTCTGTTGAACTCAAGGAGAAGCTTTAAGAATAAAAACTGTGAGATGATTGCAATTATGGAAAGAAGGTGTCTAAAATGCAGAGTGCCAGCAGGATGAAATATGAGCAAGGAAGAAATGACAGTCATCTTTTTTCACAATCATGGTTTTTCGCACAGCTGTTGTGCGTTTCTCCTCATTTGTTACTCAGGTTCACATGCCTTTCCTCAAGTTTGTATTTCCATTGTAAAAATACTTTGTTTTCCAGTTGTTGGGGGAGAACAGTTCACTTGGGGGCATTATTGTTTGTTTTGGCTAGTAAGCAGGACCAGAAAGAGGGGAGGTTCCCTCAGTTTTAGAACTGATGCAGTCAGTAGCAAAACAGAGAAGTTTCACAGAGCTCTAGCCTTCTTGTGGAGTTCTGTGTACACACTAACTTGTAAAAATGTCTCCCCTGTAAAATGAAACAAGTGGCAGGTAGAGGAAAAGAAGTTTGTAATGAAGAACCTCACCACTTGATGGGGGGAGAAAGAAAGCATACCACTGTGTCTGTAACTCAGAAAACATACAAGAAACCCCTTATCAAGTAGTGAGTTCAGTTGCTTGCGCTGCACTTTAAGAAAGATGTTGGCAAATTGCAACAGGTGCAGAAGTGTTTGGAAAACAAGTCATATGAAGAAAGGTCAAAGGAACTGTGCCTCCTTAGCCTGGAGGAGAGAATACTGGGCTGGAGGGGGGACCTAATAGTGCTATCTGCTACCTGAAGGGCTGTCACATAAAAGAAGGCAAAGACTTGCTTTCTGCTACTTCAGTGGGCAAGAGTTAGATCAAATGGGCTTCAGTTACAGGAGACAAATTTCAGTTGCATATTAGGAGAAGCTTTCTAATGATAAGAGCAGCTTAAGAGTGGAACCAATTACTTGGGTGGTTGGTGAGTTCTCCCTCACTGAAGGTCTTCAAGCAGACAGCTTCAGATTTTATGCATCAAGGCCATATGTCCCATAAAGCCCACCTCTGTGATTCTAAGTATTCCCATGAGGCCCAGAAGTCTCAATCCAATTCTGAAATAACTATAAATGTGTACCAGGCCATCAAAACATTATTGAACACATGATGCTGCCGTATCCCATTGGTCTACAAACGTCAGTACTGTCTACTCCCAACTGGCAGGGACTTGGATAGAGGTCTTTCAGCTACCTGGTCCTTGAAACTGAAGGTGCCAGGAATTGAACCTGGGATCTTCTACATGAAAGGAGTGGCTCTACCACTGAGCCATGGCCCTACTCCTTCTTCTGTGGTTTAAGGTTTTCCCATACCTAATGGAAAGACATAGATTAGAGTTGGGATCGTCACAAAGAATGTTCTAGATGAGACAGGTGGTTATGTAGACTCCATTAGATTGATAGTATTTTGAGCTTTCTTACCAATTGGGGAAGGCTGGTGCTTTTTGTGTCAAAATATGAACTGAGGGAATAAGTATATTCTTGGGTAAACTGTTCTGCTGCCACTAACTAGAATGAAAACTCACAGCAGGTCCAATTTTCCTTTCCCCAGCCCTAAAATTACTTATACTG